CATATCCAATATAAGCTGAAATCTTTTTATATAATTGTTATAACATTATTTTGATGATTCAAAACTAGTATATAATAATTTTAAAGAGTTATTTTCAAAATTGTTATAATCTTTTAAATTTATTTATATAAAGAATTATGGAGAAACAAATTTTATAATCATCATGTTCTTTTTAGGAAGGGTTATATTTATGGATGTACATCACCATGGAAAGCTACTGAAAAATTATCAGTGCCTCATAAATCTTCATGTTTTTATGCATGCCAGTACTGTCTTGTGCATTTAGGAGACATTGCTCGTTATAGAAATGAAAGTAAACAAGCTGAATTATTCTATAGGCATGCAGTATCATTATCACCATCCAGTGGTCAACCATATAATCAATTAGCCCTTCTTGAAGCATCGCGCGGTAATAAATTGGCAACTGTATTTCATTATACACGATCTGTTGCTGTAAAACATCCTTTTCCTGTTGCCACAACAAATTTGGCAAAAACATTATCTTCTGCTTTAAATGATACATCAGTTAATATAGATGGAAAAACAAAATTAACTTCTCAAGAGTATATAGCAGTTTTTTTAAAGCTTCATGGTGTTATTCACAATCTTGGAGATTTAAAAATTGCTTCTGCATATGCGAAATTATTAACTGAAACATTAACAGCTTTAGTTGCAACAGAAAGTTTTAGTTCTTGGATGCTTGTTCAAATGTTTGTAATTAATTTGTATGCTTTAGAACATACAAGTGTTGTTAGTAATACTGAACCATTAAAACAGGAACAATTAACATCTGATGAAAAAATTGCTCGTGATTGTATTTTGGATCTTATAGCTGGAAGTTTGTCTGCCTTGTTGTTACCTGTCTATACAATAAAAAATTCTATTATTGAGTATTTTGCTTTGCCTTCTATAAAACTGTGCCTTGATTGGATTCATACAAAACCCACAGTTTTGGAAGAATTAGCTTTTACATCAAGGCTTCAAATTTGGCCCAGCCTCTGCGTATTATTAAATGCCTTGCAGAATTGCGTAATCGATTTCACATATGATCAATATATTAAAGTACCACTGCCAGAGGATCGTGATCTTCAAGGATTTTTACCGCTAGAAAAAAGTTTTGAGTGTTTAAAATTTACGAGTACTGATTTAGAAGATAATATTGAAGCTTCCAATAAATTGCGAGCAATTCGTATCCTTCATTTAGGTCATTGTTTAGCACAATATAGAATTAATGGTACTGCATTAATTGCTATTACATTAGGAGAAGAAAAAGGTGAGAACAGATTTAGTTCTATAAGTGAAGGAAATGGATTAAGCAATGAATTGATGAAAGA